CGCGGCCTATGCTCGACACGAAACGGAAATCTGCCATTTGAAAACTTGTGCCCATAGTATGCAAAAATGTCCCGCCATCATGAACTCATATTTACACAAAGCTGTCAGCCAGCGGCGATTTCAGACTGGGCAGTGGCGGGGAGAGCGAGCCGTGTAGCGGCCAACTGGTTCACGTGTAGCGGAACTGTCTGACAGCTCAAGATCGCTGACATCCGTGACGGTGTCCGAGCCGTCCATTGCTTCGAGTCAATTGTCATTATATGTATGCGTGCAATTACTTTTGCTCCAATTGTAAAGCTTATTTTTTAATTTTAGACTGCATATGCTTTGCATTTACCCTCGCCCCTGGGGCCTGGACCTATTTTACTGTATAAGTATGATACGTACATATTACTCAACATTTTATTTTTCACGCGCTCGTAAAAAGAAAACAAACGCATTCGTCCATCATCAAAGTACTTGCATTGTGACTGAAAATGTCATGCATTCGGTGACGAAGAACTTATTTATAGTGATAAAGGATGACAAATAAACAAACACTACTAATACAAGACGAAATTGAAGTTGCCTTATTCTAATTTGAATTTGGTGTATTCGAATTTGATCTTGAGTAAAACGAAATTGCATTTGACTTCTTCCAATTTGATGTTGGCATATCTCAATTTGAGCTTGAGGTATCCGATTTTGTATTTGACATCTTCCAATATGAAGTTGACTTATTCGAATTTGAACATGGCTTATTCGAACTTGAGCCTAAAAAGGTGTAGACTTCGACGCCCCCTGGTGGTGGCAAATGCGCTTGGTCACGTGACCAAATCTGCACGTGCGGTTGTGGCGAGGGCACTTCCCGAAACTCTGGTGCCAACGGCCTCGCGGCGCCCATAGAGAATACATGGGACCTTTTCTTTTCAGACCTATCGTGTCTAAACCAAGCCATTTAGTGCAAAGATACGACTGGTTTGAGATTCAGTCGTCTTTTGGCTATAAGTCGGCATAAGAAACGCATTTTTATCGGCAAAATTCGCTAAGTACCAGGTGGTTTTCCGATACCCTGCACGCCTCCTAACCCCCGGCGGCCGACCGGAGGAGTCAGTAGCGCTCCACTCACGACTTTTGGCGATAGTTCAAAACACCTTACAGCTAGAGGGCTGCTATTTGGCACACCTTACCTTTGCTTCCATACGCATCTTTGGAAACCAATTGCATTTCCGTCTCAGGTCAGATCACTGACTTATGACGTCACACGTGAACCTCTGCAATAGTCCCAAAATACCGAAACTTCGCAATCCCCTCGGTGCCAGAGGAGCTGTCACAGCGAGATGATGCTTACAGGACCTAGTATTCTCTAGAAGTCTCAAAACTTGTATATCTCGGATTTCTCCTAGAGGTCACATGAGGTCAGGCCGATCGCGTGACGTCACCATTACAAGTCAATGGGGAAAATATGGAAACTAATTTTGACGCCGATAATGATCTTAACCCAGCTCAAGCACATGGAATCGCAATTTCATGCACATCTTGCAATGCCCAATGCTTCACTTTTGCATCTTTAACCCTATTCCTGGCGGGGGGGCCTCAGGAGCCCCCCCCCCTGAGGTTTTTTGGTTATTTCTCCCAAACGCGTTAAGCTAGGAAGCTCAAATTTTCTGACTTTTCCTAAAAGGCTTCTACGCAACATGTCTGAAAATTTTGAGTTGATCTGACCTCAGGTCAGGTCACCAGAGGCGGTTTGGTGACCCTACCTCAGAAAAGTTTGCAATCACGCCAGAGCTAGAGTTTTTGACCGATCAATTTCTTCTCTTCAGGTTTTAGTTAGGGTACCAGTATGTGCAATTTGTATATCTCGGAATTTTGATATCGGTGACCTAAGGTCAGGTCATTTTCGCGACCTCCCCATTATAAGTCAATGGGGGAAAAATCAACTCCCTGTTTTTACCACTAAAACGGGTCGGAATGGCCCCATATAACATACATGACTTCATATACGATCAACCTTCACTACCTTGAGGTCTGTTTTGCTGTTGGGCAGCTGTGAGGTCATGTGACGTCATCAAAGGTCACCAAAGGTTTTTGGCCAATAACTCCGTACAGGAACAAGATACAGACGCGTAGATGGTCTCATTGTGTTCAGCTCGTCAAGACGCATCGAATGATATACATGATGACCTCGAGGTCACGTGACCTGAGGTCAACCTTTGACCTTGACCTTTCGAGGTCAACATATATATCATTCGATGCGGATTGACGAGAGGATCACGATGCTGCCCTTAGTTTGTTCCTATCTTGACTAATTCGAAAGTTATTCGAGAAAAACTCTCTCCATATCCAGCGCCGCCATTTTGACTTTTTCGACCCCTGTGACGTCATCTTTGACCTGACCTGAAAATGACCTTGATAAAAATTGTAGATCTTGACCGTGCGTATCCGATGCCGTTTACCGCTTGTCGCTATCTTGCTTCGTTCTCGAGATCTCAGGGGGGGGGCCGAATCGGCCCCCCCCGCCAGTTTCTTGTCCCGGCGGAGCCCGCCAGGAATAGGGTTAACTTAGCGTGATGTCATAGGTCACAAGTTTTTTCGTCAATAACTCCTGATAAAATTGAACTGGCAAGTCGGAAAAGTCGCCAATGGACTCGGGAAGACCTATCGAATCGAATGATATACGATACCAGTAAAACGCCTTTTGGGCGAAGAACGAGCGAGCGAGATAGTGAGCCCTGCACGTGCGGAAGGGCGAGAGGGTGCTTCCAACGGGCCTGCGCAAAGCACCCTTCTAACCGGTCGCTAGCGGTGTGCCAAATTTGAACGCAATCGGCCCAGCCGTTCCTGAGATCTGGAAGCGGCATTCTGCACGTGCGCACGTGCAAACGGGGTCCAAAATGACTTTTGCACGGCACCCTACTAACTGGTCCCCAACCGGGTACCAAATTTGAGCGCAATCGGCCCAGCCGTTTTCGAGATCTGGAAACGCCCTCTGCACGTGCGCACGTGCAGTAGCACCCTAACCGCAACACATGGGAATGCATTGCCTGGTTGGTGCCTACCTGTATGCCAAGTTTCAGCGAAATCGCCCCAGTAATTACCGAGTTACTGAAATGGGAACAAATTTGGCACCTCTTATTGTTGTATTTTGCACGTGCACTGGGGGTAACCCACATGCATCGAGAGCATCCTATTTTGGGTAGAAGGGATGCTGCTACCCTACAAAAATTACCGCAAGTCAATCGCCCAAGCGGCTGCTGAGATATGAGCCTCTCAAAATCACTACTTTTGCAAAACAGCTTGAACACCCTTGACTTTTCACGTGGCACGTGCCGCGACGGTCACTGAGATGTATCAAAAGTAGTCAATTACGAGGTAGAAGGGATGGGGCTACCCAACAAAAAAGACCGCAGGCCAATCGGTCCAGCGGTTGCTGAGATATAAGCCTCTCAAAAGCGTTACAGGCCGGGCCGGGCCGGGCCGGGCCGCTCATACTGAGATTTTTCCGTTATATTGAAAAGACTCACTTCGCTCGCTGCGCTCGCTCGCTCGTAATAACCTCCTCCGACCAACTTCGTGACCTGAGTGCCTCTGACCTGACTTTGACCCGATGTGAACACCTTATGTTGACCCCACCTAAATAAAAGTGTACCATTTGACGCACCAAAGCATGACAAACATGATGGTACTAGAATCGCAACTCTGGGCCGTTTTTTGGCAAAGTTATTTCTCAAAACCCGAAATCGTATTTTGTCCCTCGGGGCACTTGACCTGACCCTCAGAGGCCACCAGTTGACCTGAGACTTTTAAACCGTGCACCAATCGCTGCGTCCCCGGTCCCGTAACGGCACACATGCTTGTTTTTCCCGCGAGGCTAGCTCAATTAGGGCGAGGGAGTCGTACCCGTCCACTCTCGCGGCCGGGGCGTAGGTATGTAAAAAAACTAATAAGTCTGGTGATGATTGATGCAAGATTCTTACAGTTAATGGTTGATAAAGGTAGGGTTCAAGTAATTAAAGATCAGTGAAACAAATTTGCAGCCCTCAGTACCCTTGATTTATGCATTAAGAGCTATAGAAGTTAGAACAACTGTAAGCTGCAGGCTCAGCTCTTCAGTTTCTACCTATGCCTGCAAACACAATAAACTCAATGGAAGAGTAATAATAGTTAAATTGTATTTTATTGATGCTATTCGAGTTTCAATGGTAACTATGTCACCGATAATTCAATATTATTTGCACGGTATCATTTATTACCACACGTCTAAATATTGAGTATCTAAAATAATGCAGTAAAATAAGCTGCGCCACATCTGTCGACAAAATCTGGTGCCAACTCAAGGTCAAACGGAAAATGTGGTCACGTGACCAATGTCCGGCAGCTGGAGTCCACGATGGTGTATGTACTTGCGAGGAGATGACGTCCGAATATGATGCAGTGGCTTTTGGTTCTGTCTGGGTCGTGATGTGTAAAGTCGAGACGCCAACTGGCGGCAAATTCTCCCACTAATATCCAGGTCACGCGCGTTGGTTGACAGTAGCAGGAGGTCGTCAGCGTAGCAGACGGCAGGCACATGCTGGCCGTGCAGATAGGCCCCGCGGCCGCTATCGTCAAGAGCTTCAACTAGAGGGAAGAGGAAGACATTGGCCAGAGTCGGCGATAAAATTGCACCTTGCCTTGTGCCTCTACAAATGTTGAACGGCGCGGACGTGTTACCACCAAAAGTTACTCTGGCCGATAATTGGCGATACCAATTGACAATGGTTTGCCAGCAGTTTGCGCCCAAATAACTCAACAGCCGAAAGAAGAGGCCGTCGTGCCAGATCCTGTCAAAGCACTTGCGATGTGGCAGTTCTATGTGGCAGCATAGAACCGTAAGCCCCTGAAAAAAAACATCTTTCAGCCCTGAGGAAGGGAATTCAATAAATTTCACCTGACACCTCGCTTTTTTAGCGAAAGCACCTCGGGCCTGACGGCCCTCGGAGCTTTTGCTAAAAAAAAAAAACTCCATGAAAGCTAACCTGGTAAAACAGTTGCATATTCTTCGGCTCCCAGAAGGTCGGATGCCTGGCCACGTACTTGCTTGATGGTCTGTCACCTGGTGTTATCTGAATCATCTCTTCGATCAGGCTCCTCATGGAGCCCTTCGGTACGACATCCAGGCTGAAAATGACTTTTTTTCAGAACATCACACGTCCCGTAGTGGGGAACAACCGATTGATGTCTCGCCGATTATGACACCTTCCAACTATAGTTCGTTTTTTCTAAGTTCGACCCTCACTGTAAATATTTTTTTTGAACAAATCAAGAGAATTGCTAGCTGAAATACCTAGAAAACTGGTTAGCGCACATTGTACTGCAGGTATGAATAATATTTCCAAATAAGCTTTAACCCGCGCCCCAGTGGCGGTCTCGGCCAACTTCGCCCTAGTGGGGGGGGGGGGGCATATGTTACCACCCACCTCTAACTAAAAAACTAAGAGGGCTAGAAAGACGCGGTAAAGAGCAGTCGATAGCTCTCAATGCGTACGTTTGAAAGTATTTCGGTCATTTTTCACCTTAGAGCAATATTGGGGTCACCAGAGGTCATCAAAGGTCAAAATTTGCCAATTGTCATATTTTTTAGAAAACATGCCGCATCTCAGGAACTATGGTAGCTAGAAAAATGCATTGAAAAGCAATCGATAGCGTTTGAACTCTTCTTTTGATAAAGTCATTATCAAAATTGACCTCAGGTCAACGGTTTAGCCTCCAGAGGGCAAAAACTCCAAAAATAGCTGTTTTTACGAAAAGTGTTTTTCGACAATAACTTTTACCTCCAAAAAGCCACCACATTTCTATTGCCAGAATCGTGTTCATCTCGCCGAGACGCGTCGAATGAACTATAATTTGACCTTAAAAGGTCAACTTGAAAATTTGACCTCAGGTCAAGGTCATGACCTGACCGGAAAAGGTCATGCTGCATATCAGTCGCTGCGTCTCAACAAGACAAACACAATGAGACCATCCCCAGCGTTCTATCTTTTTCCAATCGCGAGTTATTGGCAAAAAAACTGTTTGTAGCCTCAAATGACCTCGGATGACCTTTCTAGAGGCTATCAGCAAAAATTACACCTTGGTCATCACGAGTGGTCTAAATAATTGTGATTCTGAAATATTTGGACTGTTCCTATGCGTACACACGGATATAGAGGCATTTTCATTTTTCTCCATTGACTTGTAATGGAAAGGTCACGCCACTGCACAGTGGGGATTTTTCCGATCTAGCGCGTCTTAATTCGAAAAATCTTTCTTGGATTTTTGTTTATTTTTTGTGTCAGTGGGGCTAAGAAATGTCGGAGTTTTCATATATGGCATTGTTTTATCTGTATGTTCACAGCAAGACTAGGAAAAATGCGCCCAAAGTTCACACTCATGCGTGATTACTCAATGGGCTCAGGAAGGCCCGAAAGTATAGCTCAGTTTCATTGTCCTGTCCTGTTGGTTTTATTCTTGCGAGGTCTTAAAGTTGCATATCTTCTGCAAGGCACCTTTATTAGGAAGGGAATGGCAAACAGAAAGTATGCCACAACTTTACCAAATGTCACAAGAATGCCATTTATAAAAACCCTTACAGACACCATATTGAAGGAATGTTATTCTAAATAAATGTAGGAAATCAACAATGTTTTCCACACTTTTCCACTCCGAAACATATCCTATAGAATTCGCCACTTTCTCCTGCACAAGACAACGCCTAGTTTGGCTGCCGAAACTTGCCTGAACACAGAATATTCACATTAGAGTATCTTAATACCCCACTCTAGGAGCCCTAGGGCAAACAGCGCGATATAGGTATGTTCCAGACATAGGCGAATAATTTTGCTTCGTGATTTATATGATGGATATTTTCTGAGACACATTAATTAGGAATAGGATGACAAGCGTAAATTATACATACCGTAACCTTATTCACCCTCGCACTTGTGGGGAGGGGGAGGGGGAAGGGGTCGGATAAAACCCCATGGTTTTCCGCAAATTACTCGCGCAAAAAGCGGTCGATAGCGTCAAAACTTTCGGTGCCCTCGAGATCATCAATTTTACATCTAACCTAAAAATTTCATGACTCTGACCCAACTGACCTTTGACCTGTGGCATATTTTTCGAGACCATGTTTGGCCGGAATCGCGATTCGGCGTATGCCAGCTCACGTTATCCGCGGTTTCCAGTCTTTTTGTGGTTTTAAACGTTCAAATATGTGAAATGATGTTGATGCCATGTATTATGGTGGGTATCAAGGTCACGTGAAGATAAAGTCAAGGTCATTGACCTTTGATGACCTTTGTTCACTTTTTCGAGTTTTACTTGTTTCTTGGGTAGTTTTTGGTGCTGATTTCGAATTTAGCAACCATTTGAATATTTACGAAGTAGTTGTGGTGCCTTCGTACCATGTTACGAAGCTGTCAGTTGTAGGTGACATGGATGGCCTACCTATGGATGGCCGGCAGGACGCCTACTGGTGGATCTGACCTGACCTGACCCGACCTGGCCTAAATACATTAAGACATCGTCTGTGATCAAAACTAACATGAAATTCGTGATTAGCACCCCAAAATACTCCGTAACACCCTAACTTTACGAAGTTTGAAGAGGTCTTGAACCAACTTTAGTTGGGTCATTAACCCTATTAGTGGCAGGGGGGGGGGTTGTTTTCATCCGCCCCTCAGGTTTTTCGGGAATATCTCCGAAACCGCTGAAGCTACGATGCTGAAATTTTTTGACTGTTTCTAAAAATAAATTGGGCACATTCCCTGAAAATTTCAAGTTCATAACTTTACCAGGGGTGGCTCCAGAGCAATGGGAATTGGGGGTCCTATTCGTGAAGCGAGTCTTCGGGCGAAGATCACGATGCTGCACCAGTTTTACGAACAGTGAATGAAAGGTATCATGTGATAACATATACAAAGTTATTTTGCATCCTCCTTTGACACGTTTTTGCTATAATAGGCGGATCCAGGCATCCAAAAAGGGGGGTTATGTTTTACCTCTCAACATAGGTGCCCTGATACCGCCTATGCATGACCAATACAATTGTAGTCGTTATTATAAGAAAACTGTAACATAACAAGACCATTACCACCCTTTTTAGAAACAGCCTACCAGCAAAAACCTTATTTACTATACTTTTTGTTTACACCCAATCCCAATGATCTGTATCCGCCTATGATTTTTGAAAATGCATATTTTTAGGATCCATGTGAATTCCTGGTTCATTCTCTATCGATCGGCAAGAGTTGCGTTAAGATTGGTTCAGAAACCTGGCCGTGATAAACAGTCTAAAATGTATCTGCAATTTGCCGGTTTTTACCCCCCTCTACCCCCCTATTGACATTTTTTAATTTTTATTTTTTAGAAATGTAGATCACGTTGAGCGAAATCGAATGCTGTTTGAATTTTGAAAATCGGCCCGTTAGATCTCGAGATATCAAGGGGGGGTCGTAAACAGCCCCCCCTGCCACTAATAGGGGTAGCAGGAGCCTGCCACTAATAGGGTTAAACTGACTTGGAAAGTCAACTAATGACCTTGGACTTTGAAATTGGATACATTCGGCCTCATCTCGTCATAGGCAGCACGCTTGATTTTTCCGCGAAGCTCTAGCTTGATCAGGGGGCCAAACGGCTGAGCCGGGGGTCCAATTGAACCCCCTATACTATGTTAATTATGCACATTTACAGGTAACATTCTCACCAGAACACACCAACCAACATCTGTGCACAATCTGGCTACAATACTACCTATGGTTTGCCCTCTGCGAATAAAGACGTGCTAGATCGGAAAAATCCCCACTGTGCGATGCCTGCGATCGCCAGGCTGATGAGGGCCGGCCGACGCAAGTATTTGAGGCGGTCCCTAAGTCAGTTTCTAAGGGTGTCCACGAACGCTGTCTGGTTAACCCTCGCCCGCACATGCCTTTTTCCCATCCTAGAACGAACATGGGGGGTGGTTGCCACCCCCGCGCCATTTCGTTCCTGTTGGAGATAGAGCTTCGCGGTAAGGACCAAAACGATTCTTTGGGAAGAGACACATGCAACGATACCCAGTTTTACCTTCTCAGGTCAGTCATTGACCTTTCAGGTCAGGTCAAACTAAAAAAATGTTGCTGTTTTTGGTCACCGTTGGATATCAAGTGCGCTGCTTATCAATACCGATGACGATGCCGTTTTCTGGTGCCAAGCCAGCTAGAACCTCTTTGTCACACTACCCGACCAGGTTTTTGCTGCTGAGGTCATTTCAGGTCAAGTTAGGTCAAGGTCAATGAAATGTGTTTGTATGTATGTCTGTGTGTGTCTGTGTGTATACTGGTGTGTGCACCGATTGTTTATGTGTCCATATTACATGAAATCATGATCTGAGAAGCTTTAACCAAAACTGCAGTCAAAAAACTCCACGAAAAGTAAATCCAGCTTGCCTAAAACGCAATTACCTTAGATGACCTAGGTTGACCTTGACCCTGACCTTGACTTTGACATCTGTACATCGTCGAACAACATGTTCCATGATAGGTTTGAGGTAAGACTGGCAAAAAAGGCCGAAATCAAGGTGTCAAAAGCTCACAAGGCCCATAGCCAACGCAAGATGTTGAGAATTGGTCATTTGGGTTATGATATGACCTGAAAAACAAGGTCATATCTCCGAAACCAAAAACCACAGAAACTTGAAATTTTCAGTGGACATCAAGAATGGACAGAGAAGCAGCTCTACGAAAAATAAGGCTTCTAGCTTTAAAAATGTTGAGTGCAGAGCAGAAAGATTACCTGGGGGTGGCAACCATCCCCCCCCCATGTGCGGGCGAGGGTTAACCCTATTAGTGGCAGGGGGTTGTTTTCATCCACCCCTCAGGTTTTTTGGGAATATCTCCGAAACCGCTGAAGCTACGATGCTGAAATTTTCTGACTTTTCCTAAAACGTAATTGGGCACATTCCATGAAAATTTCAAGTTCATAACTTTACCAGGGGCGGCTCCAGAGCACTGGGAATTGGGGGGTCCTATTCGTGAAGCGAGTCATTTGGGCGAAGATCACGATGCTGATGTATTAAAACTGTATGCACCGGTTTTACGAACAGTGAATGAAAGGTATCATGTGATAACATATACAAAGTTATTGTGCATCCTCTTTTGACA